TTAAAGAAAAAATATATATATAAAATTATTTTATTATAATCAAAATAAATCTTATTATATTAGTATTATTAGATTAAAAATTTGACGAAAGAAAAATTGATAAATAATTTTTTGAAGTTATTTTGTATATAATATTTTATTGTATATCCTTTTATAAATGAAAATAAAAATAAGGAAATTTTTAATTTGAATATCGCGGAAAATAGTGAGATGTATATCTTATGTATGAAAAAAGTTTATTAAAAAAACTTCTTATCTTGAAAATTATGTAAAATTTGAAAATGCTTTTTTTAAGAAATTTATTAAAAAATATAGGAAAATATGGGGGATGTTGGAAATCGGAGGAAATGAATTCATTAAAATTATTATAATTATTAATTAAATTTATTATAAATCTAAAAATTGGATAGCCTTTTATTGAATTACTAAAATTCGGACTTATATCAAGTTTTGATAATGAATATTAATTATAAGTGACATAAAATTAATTTTATAATAATAAAAATAATGTTTTATATTTATAAATACATATATATTTTCTTTAAATTGATTATTTAATTAAAAATTGCATTTTTAAATAATTTAATTTTTTAAAAATGTAAAAATATATATTATTGGAATAATGTTTTTGATATTAATTTATTAAAAAATTATATTATTTTAAATTATCAATATTCCTTTAAAAAAAGATATTTTATCATATAAATTAAAATTAAAAATTATTATTTATTTCTTATTATATTAATTATATTATTATTAAAAAATATAAAATTTTAATTTTTATAAAATATAAATTGTATAAAATGTAATTATAAAATTATTAACCTTTTATTAAATAAATTAAGTTCCTTATAATTACTAATCATTTAGTGTTTATATTACTTCTACCATCCCACCATTTTGAACTTGGCTTAATACTTATATAATATTGCAACCAGTATTAAAAAATTCACCATAGTGGTAAAATCAGCACGAATATTCATATTTTTTTATTGCTAATTTGCCTAAATTAAAGTTATTCAAGCTATAACTATGTTCTAGACCATTCAGAAATCAAAAAATATTATTAAAAATTAAATAATAATTATATGGATCCTATATATATGATATATATATATTTAAATCAGATTATTTTCCTTAAGTTCTGTGCATTAAGTAATCATGATTCCTCAACATTTTTATTCTTTTATTTCAAATCTCATATTTAATTCAGATTTTGGGATAATTTTTATTAAACGAAAAAAATATTCAATTACTAATTATAAAGTTTTATCACAGACAGTAATTAGAATTTATTCTAAGGATTATAAGTCAATCTACGGGAATATCTAAAAATTCCTAATCAGAGGGGGGGAAGGATTGAGTTTTATATTTGTTGATTTTTTAATTTTATCGTGTGCATATTTTCTCTAAATACTTTTAAAGCAAAAATAAAATTATTACTAATAGATGGGTTATTATTAATTTTTTGTAAATTTATTTTATTTATTATTTATATTTTAGATAATATTTTTTTTTTTTATTTATATGCGCTATTTATTATGATATTTATTTTTTTGATTATTAATATTATAATTATCAAAAAAAAATATATTTTTATTTTATGATTATATGCTATTTTATATAGATTAATATATTTAAATAAATATATTAGATTTTTTATCGCAAATTTATTACATATTAATAAATTTAAATAATATAGATTAATATAAATTAATTAAATCTATTTATTTAATAAAATATGAATTATATTATAAAAATAGTTTATAATTATCAATAATAATAATACATTTAATTTATAATGAAATTTTTATTTAAATATTTGTTTTTATTTTTTTCCTTTATTATTTACTTTTTTACAAATTTAGTCATTTAAAAAAATCATATTTAAAAAAATAATATTTAAAAATTTCTAATTTATATATTAATTTTATATAAATTAAAAATAATAAGAAATACAATTAAAATTTTCTACTTTATAATAAATAATAATAAATTAATGATTTATTTCGTTAATTGCAACAAGTACTAAAATATTATTTTACCTTTTATATGAAAATAACAAAAATATTTTGAATAAATATTTTTTAAAATTAAAATTGAGTTAAAAAATAATTAAGCATTATATTAGATTGGATTATAAGTTAATTATAAATCAATTTTTTTATAAAAACAATATTTTTTAAAAAGATATTTTATTTTATATAGTAAAATATAAATTTACATAATTTTTTTTTATTTGATTATATTTATAAAATAATATTTATTTTATAATAATCATGTGTTAAAACATATACAATTTTAATTAATATTTATATATTATTAAATTAAATAATATACTCATTAAGTACTTTACAAATTTTGATTTAGAAAAATATTAATCAAAATATAAATAATAAAAATCAAATTAACAAAAAAAGTTAAAAAATGTAAAAACTTATAATAATCCTATTATTAATAACCTTTGTTTTTGGTCTAAAAGTCCTCGAACACTAATGTGGCCATGATAAATTTAGAGAAAACTATAAATATGAATCAATCCCTTAAGATCCTGTCGAAGAATCTTCAGATATTCGTAATTTATAAAATAAATAAGCTCGTAATATGATAATTACCTACAATAAAGATTATTTGGAATCTTTACCTGATTCTCCTTAGAAAAATAAGCAAATTGATGTAATTAATAGCTGTGAGAAAGCTTTAAATTTGGCAATTCAATATTTTTCTCTTTTAATAAAAATAATTCCAAAAAAAGAAACAGATATGAGATTTAAATAAAGTAGTGGAAAATGTGGATTAGTTACAATTCCTAATATAGACAAAACTTAGGGAAAAAATTCTGATTTACATTTATATATATCATATACAGTTGAACGAGGTAAAAATACTTTAGCTCATGCTGGTTGGTGTTAATTTATAGATAATTTAGGACCTACTCATGGTACAGTTAACTTTAATATAGGTTTATTAGCTACCAAAAATCTACATGATCCTATTGAATTTGAAGATTTAATGGAAATAGTTATCCATGAAATGACTCACATATTAGGTTTTAGCGATGATGATGTACCAAAATGGATAAATTCTAAAGGAAAGCCTCATACTGTCCCTATTGTTAAATATGTAACAAGGGGAGTTTAAAGAATGTTTCTCAGAACTCCTCATGTTTTGGCATTCGCTAAAAAATATTACGCATGTGAAACATTACTTGGTATGCCTCTTGAAAATTAAGGAGGAAGCGGATCTGCAGGATCTCATTGGGAAAAAACAGCCATCGCCGACGAATACATGAATGCAAGTAGATCATTTACTTAGGCCCATTTTAGTGGTTTTACAACCAATCTTTTAAGAGACACAGGTTTCTATGCTGAAGTAAACGCCTCTATGGAGGAAAAAACAACTTATGGATAAGGAAAAGGCTGTCAATTCATCACTGGTTAATGTGACTAAAAATTAAGAGAATTTTGTACACCTGTATAAGACGATGGATTATGTGATTTTTATCACTATGGATCCTCTGGTTGCAGTGTTGGAGAGTATAATGACCCTGATTGTTATACTAGTATTATCTATGATAATGTAAAATGCTGGGATACTAAAAGTAATTTTAATACAAAACAAAATTAGGGTTTATATGGAATTAAATTTGGGTTTAAATCAAAATGTTTTAACGGGACTTTATTAGATGCAAATTATTAAGCAAATGATAAATTGTTGGGTAATTGCTATTAATATTAATGTATTAGTAGTTTATAAAAATTGATTATTGATGTAGGAAATAAAAAGGTTGTTTGTACTTAAAACTTAGCCAAAATGAAAGTTAATGGATTTAATGGATATATTTAATGTCCCGAAAATATATAAGAGTTTTGTGAGTTTAAAAAATTCTGTCCAAATTTCTGTAGTGCAAATGGATTTTGCTTAAAAGGATTGTGCTATTGCGCAAAAGGGTATTATGGATAAGACTGCTCAAATTATAAAAGTTCGTGAGAAAAAATTATAGTTTGCTTTTCTATTTATTTTTATTATATTAGAAAAAACTAAAAAATTATTATTATATAAAATATTATATTTATAAATATTAATTATTGACTTATAAAAAAATATTTTATTTAATATTAATAACGTTTAATTTTAAAGATATATATAAAAAAAAAATATTCTAAATAAAAATAGTATTATGAAAAAATGAATAAAATGAAATATAAAATAAAATATATAGATTTGTTTTAAAACAAAGTTTTTTAATTACTTTAAAAATTATAGAAATTATAATAATTAAATAATTTAAAATAAAAATAAATATATATATATATATATATATATATATATATATATATGTATATATATATACCTTATTAATTTCTTATTATTTATCCTGGAATTTTTTCTTTAGTATAAGTGAAATTATATATATTTATTTCTTAAAAAAATTAAAATTATATTATATTTTAAAAACGTATGTTATTAAAGCAAATAAAATAATTAATTAGCGTTAAAAAATCATGTTTAATTTATTATATCTTCTAAAAAATATTTAAAAAAAATCATTTACTTAAATTTTAACATAAAAAAATATATCAAAAACAGAAACAGGTAATAAAAATTACAAAATATTGATATTATTTTTATTTAAAAAAAAATTATACAGAATAAAATTAACATTTTTAAACTCATAATAAATTAATAATATAAAAATCAAATAACATATCAAATATAGAATACAAAAAATGTATTATAAAAGAATAAAATTACAATAAAAACCAATAAAAAAAATAAAAAATTACCTTTCGATTAATAATAAAATACCAAAACAAATTCCTTTAATTTACAAACATAAACAAAATCATAATAAATCAAAGAAGAGTCTAAAAAAAAAAATACTAAGTTTGGTAAAAAATAAAAAGAAGAAAAAAAGAATAAAATAATTGAATTTACTAGCTAGAAAAATATTAAAAAAAAAAAATTTAAATAATATTGTAAAAAAATAATAATAAAGGATAAAATTGAAGATATAATCTTATATTTTGTTAAAATTTAATTATGAGAAAAAAATAAATTATTAAAAAAATAGATTTTAATTATTTAAATTAAATGTAAAATAATTTTTTTTATTTAAAAAATAATTTTTTCGTCTAAAAATAAAAAAAAAAATAAAGCATAAATTATATATATGAAAGAAAAAAAGAAATAATATATATAAGTATTTATATAAATAAATATATATATATAAATATATTATATATTTTTATCTATAAATATATATAATATTTTTATTTTTTCTTACTTATTTTATTATTATCCTTAAATGTTTAGAATTTTAAAATATTTAGTAAGAATTTACTTATAAAACAATTATTCTTTATTATCTTATATATTAATTTTTATTTTATACATAATATTTTTCTTAATAAAATTATTATCAAAACTACTATTAAAACATTTAGTTGCATAATTAAACAATATATACTAGTATCTTCTTTAATTTTTATAGGCAAATATCTATTTTTATATAAAGAAATTTACAAAAATTTCATATAATTTTTCCTAGTAGTATTTTATGATAATAAATTTATAATTTTTCCTATTTTATTTTTTATATTTAATATAATAAATATGATTAATATTTTTAATAAATTAATAACCTATTTAATATTTAAAATAAGTATATAACTGAATTGATTATTTTGTTTATTAGTTAATATAAATTATAATTAAAAAAATAATAAATATACAATGTATAAATATTAAAATAAAAAAAGAAGAAATTTCATGAAGTTTTTTCCTAAAAGCGAATCTTAAATAGATTTATAGTTCTCTATAATAAATAGGTTTATAAGTTATTAGAACGTATATTCAAACGATTTAAATTTTATTATTAACTCAATTAAATTCTATAAATAAAGTCTTCGACTATATTATTAAGACTTTTATTCGTTTTAAATAAATATAAAATAATAATTATATTACATGAAATAAAACTGTTTAATATTAATATTTAGAGCTTATTTTGTTCAAAATTTTTGGGATAATCTTAAAG